TCTTTCTTTTATGTGCTTACTTTATTAATCTATATCTAATTTATCTTTATCTGTCTGTCTGTCTGTCTGTCTGTCTGTTTATTTGTATCCCAGGTTTATTATTTTTACAAATAAGATTCTCATTTGGACACACTCAGAAAAAGGAAAGAGAAAACACAAATTGGTTCTGTGAAGGAGTTGAAACAATTGAATGCAAGATGGGCATTTGTGGAGGAAGGTCAGAAAAGTCAAGATGGCAGCTTCAACCACAAGATCAGACATATCCCTTTTTAAATGGACTGCATATTAAAAAGGGAATAAGGCTTCAGTTGGTTAGCCATGGCTGCTACTGATTTTTTTTTTTTTTTTTAACATTCTCCTCATCCCCAACACACATGCAGAGGTGCATTTGAATAATAAAAAGCTTTTGAAAATAAGCCAAGCATCCTTTCTGGTCTCCAGAAGTAGGTCACTCACTTCTGATGTGGCAAAAGGAAATTCCACACCAATATATTCTGTCCTCAGCCCTGGCGCAGAGATAACTCGTGGACTATCCCATTTTTTTCCTAGTATGCATTTTCTGTGTATATTTGATTATATTGTCTCAGCTGTAGTGTGGTGTTTATCACCTCATTAAATGGACTGGATGTGCCCACCAAAAGGAGTGGAGATCAAAACACCTCCTCACCAGCAATCAACAACCAGTTTAGAAGAGATTAATACCAAGATTAATACTAGACCAGTGATGGCAAACCTTTTAGAGACCAAGTGCCCAAACTGCAATCCAAAACCCACTTATGTATCGTCGGGTGCCAGATGGGTGTGGCCCATTTGTGGGTGTGGCCAATTGGGTGGGTGTGGCCAATTGGGTGGACGTGGCTGTGGTGGTAATGGCAGACTGGTGGGACTAAAAAGTTCAATTAGTCAATTACAACTTTGCGAGATCTTTTTTTTCCCTGTGAGAAAATTGAAATCGAAATTGATTGAACCTTTTTTTTTTTGCACACAGAGCGGAAACCTAAAGTGAAAAGGTTTGATAAAACCCAGCTGAAGGCCTAGGATCTGGACTCTGCGTGCCACCTGTGGCACGCATGCCATAGGTTCGCCACCACGGTACTAGACCATCAGTCAAGAAGTAAACAATACTCCAATCAAGGAACTATCAACTCAAACAAACAAGCTATCAGTAAACAACAGTTTAATTAAGGAACCACCAAGAATACTCCCACCAACTGCGGCAGGCAAGCCACTGTTCATTTATTGGTATCCCACCTTTCTTTTTTTTTTTGCAAATAATTCAAGGCGGGAAACATGTTCAACCCATCATCTTCCTCCTATTTTCTCCTTTGAGATGGATTGGGCTGAGAAAGAGTGACTGGCCCAAAGTCACTCAGCTGGCTTTTGTGGCTAAGGTAGGGCTTGAGCTTACCTCGCCTGCTTTCTAGCCTGCTATCTTAACCACTAGACCAGGGGTAGGCAACCTTGACTCTTTTATGACTCATGGACTTCAACTCCCAGAATGGCTGGCTCAGGAATTCTGGGAGTTGAAGTCCACAAGTCATAAAAGAGCCAAGGTTGCCTACCTCTGCACTACACCAAATTTGCTCTAATATATAAAAAGAGAGCAAACCTCACTCCCTTCTAGCACTGATGAAGTTATCTAGTTTGGTAATAAAACGCCTGCAAGAAAACAATCAAACTCACAGAGCATCAAAAACCCACAGTTCAAGCTACAAATGCTCTCTTCCATCAAAAGCCAGTAAATGTAGCAATTAAGGCATCAAACTAGAAACTGGAGACTATGAGTTCTAGTCCCATCTTAGATAAAAAGATAGCTGGGTGACCTTGGGCTAATAATCATTTCCTCTTAGCCCAGAGAAATAGGAATGGCAGACTACTTCTGAAAGTCCTTACCAAGAAAACATCACTCTTTCATTCAGTTACCAGAGGTCAACACTGACTCAAAGGTACACACACAAAAAGATCATCTAGGGAAAAAGTACTCCTACTGCCCCAGCTATCAGAGGGATAGAATCAAGATCACGTGAAGTATTAATACCACTTTACAATGCCTTGGTAAGGCCACACTTGGAATACTGCATCCAGTTTTGGTCACCACGATGTAAAAAAGATGTTGAGACTCTAGAAAGAGTACAGAGAAGAGCAACAAAGATGATTAGGGGACTGGAGGCTAAAATATATAAGGAACGGTGACTGAAATTGGGTATGTCTAATTTAACAATGAGAAGGATGAGGGGGGATATGATAGCAGTGTTCCAATATCTCAGGGCCTGTCACAAAAAAGAGGGAGTCAAGACAGGACAAGAAGCAATGGATGGAAACTAGTCAAGGAGAGAAGCAATCTAGAACGAAGGAGAAACTTCCTGACAGTTAGAACAATTAACCATGGAACAACCTGCCTTCAGAAGTGGTGAATGCTCCAACACTGGAAGTTTTTAAGAAGAGACTGGGCAGCCATTTGTCCAAAATGGTATAGGGTTACCTGCCTGAGCAGGGGGTTGGACTAGATGACCTCCAACCAAGGTCCCTTCTAACTTTATGATTATTATTATTATTATTATTATTATTGATCATCGCACAGTCAGCCAGATGTTCAGACTGGATTTGGCATTTTGTCTACCTATCAAGTCCTTACCCAGGACCTGGGATAGGCAGATGTGGATGTTTGATGGTATTACAGATATCGTCGCAGGATGGAAGCAGTTCCTAATAAGGCCGCCTTTTGCAATTGACTAATAGCGAATTTGTCAATGCCAATGGTGTTCAAGTGGTGCTCCAGTTGTTTTGGGATTGCACCCAAGGAGCCTATGACTATTGGTACTACCCTTGCTTGCTTTTGCCACAGTCTTTCTATTTCTATTATTATTATTATTATTATTATTATTATTATTATTATTATTATTATTATTATTATTACTATTATTATTATTGGAGCTGAAACAGGGAGGAGCTGCTTTTCAGTGGCAGTGCCAAACTTCTGAGAGTTCCCAAACAGAGATCTGTCTGGCACCAGAAATGAATACATTGGGAAGGATATTGAAACCAGAGCCTCTCTTGCTTTACATATTTTTGTTCTGTTCTTTCACTTATGAATTTTTGTTTTATGTTTTTAAACATGTAGCAGATGCTTTGAATTTATTTTCTATTATATCAGTTGCCAAGAGCTGAATTGTGGTGGGGTCAACATGTAAGAAGTAAATAAGCAAAGCTGAGAAAGAAGGTAGGGATCATAGCAGTAAGGATGCTATTGCTAATGAAGAGGAGGGCCAATTATTCATGGATTAGGACCCACTGGCTTTGCAAACTCCTTTGTTTACTAGTTAATTCTGCAGTTAATTACTCCATCAGCTGTGCATGTTTTTACTCACTAGAGGGATTAAATCACTTTAACACAAGCTGCATAGAACAGAAAATAGCCTCTTTCAAAGACTTTATTTCAAAATAAGGAGCAATTGTATTGCCAATTTGTAAGAAATAAAATGCTCTCTAAAATGATGACAGCTGATATCTAAATAAACAAAAAAGAAATGGTTATTGCCACTGACGCAGAGAGGAACAATATGCCGTGCGTGTGTGTGTGTGTGTGTGTGTGTGTGTGTGTGTTTATGGGTGGCACATTGTTCTGGTGGCCCACAGGCCAGATGGGTCATGTGCAGGCCATACCCACCACGGCTCTGCAAAGGCAAAAATGTTGTGATATGTCATGATACTCATGTGATGTGATCGAGTTTGACACCCATGCTCTAGTCTAGGGGAATGGGATTGTATTTAAGAATAACTGAGTTGGAAGGGACCTTGGCGGTCTTCTAGTCCAACCCCCTGCTCAGGTAGGAGACTCTGTACCATTCCAGACAATTGGCTGTCCAACTTCTTCTCAAAAACCTCAAGTAATTTCAGCACAAGTGAGTACAGGTCAACTTAAAACCATTCATTTAATAGTTCAGGATTATGATGGTGCTGAAAAAAATAATTTACAACCTGCGCTCAGAGTTACCAACCCCACAGTCATGTAATTGCAATTTGGGCACTTGGCAACCAGCTCACATTTATGATGGTTGCAGTGTTCTCTGTTCATGTGGTTGTGATTTGCAACCTTCCCAACTATGTTCTCAGAAGCAAAGTCAGTGGATGACTTTAGTTGGCAACCATGGTAAAAATGATCATAAAGTAAGGTCTGGCCATGTGATGACTTTCTTAATAACCACATCCCAGTCCCAACTGTCATAAGTTGAGGGTTGCCTATATGACTAAAGGGCACCTACATGGGAAATGTTTGTTTGGAATAATAATTACCCACATATTATAGGGAGGAATATCCTAAACCAGTATTTCTCAGTCTCGGCAACTTTAAGATGTATGGGCTTCAATTCCCATAACACCCACGCTGGCTGTGGAATTCTGGGAGTTGAAGTCCATATAGCTTAAAGTTGCTGAGACTGAGAAACATTGTCTTAAACAGATAGAACGGAAGCAGAAGAAAAATCTGGAGGTAGTTGGAGTTGAAAGTGATAAGTACATTTAACTCTTTTTGTAATGCCTAAAAAAACCGCTCTTTGTATATTTCTCCTCCTCTGTCTGGCTATCACTTCCTCTGCATGTCATGCAGTTTCCGGGGGGGGGGGAGGGGGTCCATGAGGCCTTGTCAAACAAGTAAAGCTCTGTTTTTTATCTACAGCTCACTCCTGTCCAGTTTTGTCTTTCTCTTTAAGGGGCAGTGTGGTGGCTCAGTGGTTAAGAGGCCCAGGTTTGAGACCCAAATTTCATGTGATGGGGTGACTTACCGTCCTCGCCCCAGTTCCTGCCAACTTAGCAGTTTGAAAGCATAAATATGCAAGTAGACAAATAGGTACCACTTCAGTGGGTCAGCAACAGCAGTGGTCTGTGATGTCATGCTGGTCACATGACCACAGAAACAGCTCAATGGCCTTGAAACGGAGATGAGTGCCACCCCCTGCAGTCGGCAACAACTAGCAGAGTAAAATCCTCAGGACCTCCTTTACCTTTTACCTCTTTCTCTTTCCTTCCTTTTCCAGTACAGTTGCCTTTCCTCTTCTTTCATTTCTGTCTTGTTTCTCTTCTTTTGTTGTTCTGAAAAGCAGACAGGGAAGATGTGGGTGTGTACTTGTGTGTTTCTCTGTGTGAGACTGATTGGTACATGCAAATGGAGAAAGTCACTTAATTTTATAAATGGGGTAGCTTATTTACAGGCAATTAATTTTAATCATAGATATTTGCTTAAGCATTATTGCCATTAGACTGTGCTTTCCAGCAGGGATATATATATATATATATACACACATGTTTACAAAGGAGAGGAAAATGTTGAGAAGTGATTTCATCTGAAATGGGCAGCCTTAAGCTGAAGATGAAAGGAACCTGTGCATTACAAAGGACAATTAGCTTTGGAATATACATTCAGTGACAAATAGCTGAATTTGAATTTCATTGCTGGATTTTTTTTCTTTGATTAGCTGCCTTAAGCGAACTCTGCCAGTGAAAACAGGATAGATACAAATCCTGGAAAGAATGACATGGATTCAGGAAAATAAAGACAAGTGATTTAATTTGCTCAATGGTTAGAGAATGTCCCCAGCCTGAGTCTATTTGTATGCCGGGGAACTTGAATAATGATGGCAAAAATAACAAACATGGTTAAAACAGATGGTGTTTACATTAAAATAAAATATAGTTTATGTAACCATGGATTCTCTACTTAGCTAGAATAGGCTGGATGAATAGATCAGTTTTAAGCATATAAGCAGACTTGGGCAAGTTATTTTCTGAGCAGTAGTTTGCCCTAAAAACCATCATTAATAAAGATCTCTCAAAACTAGAAGTTCTGCTAAAAAAAATGGAAGTGTAGCTAAGATAGACAGTTCTTTACCTAGTTAATATAGTCATGGACTGAGTTATTTATGTAACAGAATAACAGAGCTGGAAGGAATCTTGGAAGTCTTCTAGTCCAGGGCTTTTCAACCTTTTTACCCATTGTACCACTTTTAGGATATGGCATGACTTTGGTTGGTATGTGTACTACAGTGATTCTGTATGGTTGATATAGTCTGTTGGTTGTTTCTGAGATGCTTTTGATATATCACAGTGCTAGCTTGTGTAGCTGTGTTATAGTGGGTTAATTGGTCAGGCAACCCTAAGCAAGGGCTTTTCAATCTTTTCACCCATTGTACCACTTTTAAGATATGGCAACATCCTAGTACCACTAGTCGCCTAGCAAGGTGTCAAAAACTTGATGACCCCCCCCCCAAAAAGGAAAAAAGTGATAAAGTACAGGTAGACCTCGACTTACAACAGTTCGCTTAGTGACTCTTCGAAGTTACAATGGAACTGAAAAAAGTGGCCCCCAAGCCATAGCCGAGCAAGACACCTGCCTGCCCGCCTGGCAGCGCTCTTCCTCCTATCCAAGGTTTTCACTGTTGTGAGCATTTCTCTTGAGTATTGGCAGCGAGGGTGGGGTGGGGGGGTGTTTTGGTTTTTATTCCCCCCATCTGCTGGGTGGTTGCAGCAGGTTTTGGTCACTTCACAAGACCCTGGGACACTGTGACCATCATAAATATGAATCAGTTGCCAAGCATCTGAATATAAATCACAAGACCCTGGAGATGCTGCAACATTCCAGCTGATTGGTGCTTCTTCAGGGCTCAGCAGAAGCACCAGGATCAGTGCTGCTTTCCAGCTGGAGCCTGGTGCTGATCCTGGTGCTTCCACTAAGCCCTGACAGCCCCAAAGAAGTGCCAATCAGCTGGAAAGCAGCACTGATCCTGGCGCTTCCACTGAGCCCTGACAGCCCTGCAGCTCCAGCCGTCTCTCGCTCAGACTTGTGTGGTGCTGCCACCGGTTCAGCTCATTCCCCTCCCCCGCTACCACTTTTCTAGGATGATCGCGTACCACCTGCCAGGTGCCAATGTACCACAGGTGGTACCCGTACCACTGGTTGAAAAGCCCTGTTCTAGTCCAATTCCCTGCTCAAGCAGGAGACCTTATTCAATTCCAGACAATTGGCTGTATAGTCTCTTCTTAAATGCCTCCAATTATTTTATTTGTTCACTCACACATTCATTTTTGTGACTTCAAGTCAGTGTTGCCCGTTGGCAACCCCTTAGATTAGTCCCTGCACTTTTTGGGGGGAACTGGCTTGCCCTTGGTTTTTTTTCCCCTAAGGCTGAGAGAGAGAGAGAGTAGCCCAAAGTAATCCTTATGAACTCTTATGAACAGCTGAACTCTCTCAGCCCTAGGAAGAAGGTAATGGCAAACCAATTCTGAAACCTTATCAAGAAAACTGCAAGGACTTATCAACATAGTTGCCAGGAGTCAACAATGACACACGCACACATCCACAAAGACTAATTTCATCCTGTTGTGCCATCTGCTGAAGGTAATTCTAATATTATGACTTTAAATCAGCATCGTCACTAGTTGAAAATCAATGTTCAAACAGTGGGACCAGTAAGAGGATTTAAATACCCATTTATTTGGGATTCTACATTCACCTGGTTTACCCATTCTACGAGCTGTGCTGAGAATGGAATCCATTCAACAAGATAGTTCAACAAGCATCCTACCCTTGCTGGTGATGGTTAATGCCTCACATTCCATACTGTCCTCTGAAATAGGCTCTTCTCTACAGGTGACATTCCTGGTTAGTTCAGCTCTTCCCAATTCAGCAGAAGATAACAACTCCTGATGCCAAAGGATGGGGGCAGAGAGTGGTGGGGGGCAAGTGGAATAAATGTATTCACCTCCTCGCTTAGCCCCTTTCCCAGGTCTTCACTTGTTATGCTTCACATCATCCTGGATCTTTCTGGCATACAGTTCCTGCAGGTTGCTCTGCTGTCTTTATTTTCCATTACCGACCCCACAGCCACTGAAATGTGCCTCTGTGCATTTTCTCTCCTCATCTGCCCATGTGTAGTAGGCCTAATGAGCATCCCCTAGAGCTGAAAAACAGAGTATCAGGTGCCTCTTGCGGGGTCATAGTGTGTTCAGCAAAACACACAGCTGCTGGCTCTAAAAACACAGAGCATAATGTGAGGTGTGATATAACAGTGGGCTTAAGATTTAAAATAATAAGATATCTTCTAGACTGGTAGCATTTGACTTGCCACAAGGACAGAATCTATGCTGGAATCCTTTCCATATAGTGAGCCAGCCTACCCCACCCCAGCAATGAGAATTGTCCAAAATTCAATAAAAAATGTAGATCTTTGAAAGACACATACAAAGCCCCCACCCCCGAAGATGAATAGCAAAACAGTGCAACCTCTTTACTTCTGGGACAAACCACAACATCTCTTTATTTTGATGAAAAGAATTGTAGCACCACCACAGTGCTAAGCTCTTCAATAAGTTGAAGCCAAGGTGCCTTAACACTAGGCACAAAAAAAAAAAACATTCACTCAATAGACACAGGTAAGGAATGCCCTTTGCAACTATGGGAGAAGGAAGAGGTATCCAAAATAAGTTGGGTTCTGGACCACCCACTGAAGTGCCGATGCAGATTCTCCATATTGCTAGACAGGGGTGTCTGTAAGGCAGGGCTTTTCTACCTTTTCACCCATTGTACCACTTTTAGGATATGGCAACATCCGAGTACCACCAGTTGCCTAGCAAGGTGTCAAAACTTGATGACCTCCCCCAGAAAAGGAACAAAGTGATAAAGTACAGGTAGTCCTCAGCTTACAACAGTTCGCTTAGTGACTGTTCGAAGTTACAATGGCACTGGAAAAAGTGCCCTCCAAGCCACAGCCCAGCAAAACACCTGCCTGCCCACCCAGCCGTGCTCTTCCTTCTATCCAAGGTTTTCATTGTTGTGAGCATTTCTGTTGAGGATTGGCAGCGGGGGTGGGGTGGGGGAGTGTTTGTTTTTTATTCCCCCCGTCTGCTGGGTGGTAGCAGCAGGTTTTGGTCACTTCACATGACCCTGGGACATTGTGACCATCATAAATATGAATCAGTTGCCAAGCATCTGAATGTAAATCACAAGACCCTGGAGATGCTGCAACATTCCAGCTGATCGGCGCTTCTTCTGGGCTCAGCAGAAGCGCCAGGATCAGTGCTGCTTTCCAGCTGATTGGTACTTCTTCAGGGCTCAGCAGAAGCACCAGGATCAGCAGCGAGCTTCAGCTGGAGCCTGGCGCTGATTCTGGCGCTTCCGCTGAGCCCTGACAGCCCTGCAGCTCCAGCCATCTCTCGCTCAGGCTTGTGCGGTGCTGCCACCAGTTCAGTTCATTCCCCTCCCCCGCTACCACTTTTCTAGGATGCCAATGTACCACAGGTGGTACCTGTACCACTGGTTGAAAAACCCTCCTGTAGGACATGGCAAAAGAGTCAAGATGGTAGTCATGATGGTCCAATCACAGGTTTCCCCCCTTTTGATATATTGTTAGGTATTTTGGAGACAGGATATGTCAGGTTCAAACGCATAGATGGGACAGTGAAATCAAATCAAGTCCAATCCTTTATTTGCTTACACCTAACAGGCAGAATCTTCCCAAGCTAAAACTGTAACCATCTAACATACGAGGTGTATCCTGAGAGATTCTAGTCGGGGATACACTGAGCTCTTCCCTCCTTCCCCATCCAGCTCGGAACTACACAGTCGCTTAACACAGGCCTCTCTCTGGGAAAGCTCTGGGTTGCCAGAAATCTCTTCTGCCGCTCCTCTAGGTGCTCACTCCATCACAGGTCAGGAGGTCTTGTCTATCTGCTAACACTGACAGCTGCAAAACATTTCCCTTCGTTTGGGGGCATTTATTATACCTTTCTTGCCCACAGCCCCTTGGATGAAACAGAGAATTTAATACCAATAGGACTTAGACATATTTTGCTTCATTGTGCTTTAAAGCCCTCTCTAAGCAGTTTTACAGTCAGCATATTTGCCCCCAACCATCTAGCTCCTCATTTTACTGCCCTTGGAAGGATGGAAGGCTGAGTCAACCTTGAGCCAGTCAGGACTGAACTCCTGGCTGTGGGTAGAGTTAGCCTGCAGTACTGGATTCTAACCACTGCACCACCAAGGATCTTAATGCCTAATTATTTGCCCCCCACCCTACCCTCATCCCCTTGTATTCCCAGCTCTCTTGTCAATTTCCAGGGTGATGGGAGGATTTTATTTTAATTCTTTCTAGTCAGTTCTACAAAGCCCATAAGAAGCTCCTGGCCTGATGCTCCCTGCTATGATAAATAAGGCACTCTTTCCTCTGACAGTGCTCTACCAAAGTTTGCAGTATGAAAATTATCTCACTTCCCCTCCATTCAAGAAAGAAACAAACCCCACTAAACCTAGCAGTGCTGAAAAGGGAAGCTGGCAAAAGAGCTGTCAAGGACAACCCCCCAACCCCAACCCCCCTTCTGTTTGTGCTACTGAGCTACTGGATTACTAAAGCCCAAGCCACTAGGTAGCAAGGGAAAAATCCTTTACTGCCATCTAGTGGTCATTTTGTATCTTTGCAGCCCAGACACATCAGCCTGGGACAAGGGGCAAAGAGAATAAATTAGCATTTCACTTTAGGTCTTTAAGCACAGAAGCTAGGAAAAGAGGTAAGACAAGAGTTCCCACCAATGAAAAAAATGAAAAAGCTGAATTTTAAGAAATAGTCTAGCTTTGCAGCAATATGCTGCACCTGAATCAGAAATAATAACCCCACTCTCCAGTGTTGCAGTTATCACTGGGAACATAGCAGTCTGGGGTCTGTTTTCAAACTGATCTGGAACCCTCAAATGGTAGGATAGAGATATTCATGAGCTATGTTAGGGTTTCACTTATATAAAGTTCCACTCTGGATAGCCACACAATGTGAGGGTCCAAACAGCTCTATACTCCTCTGAGATCACCAGTGAGAAGGATTTGCTTTATGAAAGATTGCAAACTGTCACCTGGCAGGAAGCACACAAAAGTTTCTATCTCAGCTTATTAATCCCTTTGGAAACTCAAGGGAGGCTGAGTGCTTTTCATTAAAAGGTCTTAAAATTTGAGGGGGAAAGAAAAACTGTTTCTTTAAATGGGGATTGCAGAATTCTCTCTTCATACAGGCACTTTAGCAAGCACTGCTGTCATACAAACCTACATCCAATCAGAATCTTCCCTTTACTTTCAAAAAAGCACACCACTAATCAGCAGCAGTCATTGTAAACACCCATCCTGCTCTTGAAGTTGGCGCCATATCAAAACTGTTGGAAACTGCAGCTGTGTGGAGATGAAATTCGCCTTGTGCACAGAACAATCACATTGAGCATTACAAGCTCTGAACTAGGTTTGATTTCAAGCAAAAATGTAAAGAAATCTTAATTATCTAAGATTACTATATCCAGTTTACAGAATTTCAGATATCACTAGATAGCAGCAAACATTAAAAAAAACACTATTTTTTGCCATCTAATGGACATCCATACTTTTTCAGCCTTCTAGCCTTATAATTATCTCCATGGGTTCTTGTTGACTCAGTCATTAGCTTTGCACAAGCTCTCCTGAGAATGACTGAAGTACTGCTATAGGAAACAAAGCCCTATTTTGCTGCATCTTTCTCCCCATTTCCCCACAGTTTAGAATTTTCAGAAGAACAGTCTTGGAAACCTCCAAATTGGAGCAGGGATTTCAAAGCAGTCTAAACCTCAGTCTTGGACAATCTCGCAAAAGCCACAACGGTTGGATGTAGTTAGTACTTGGCCTGCAGACAAACGGGAAATCTGAGATCTGCAGATCACATTGACAAAAAATACATGGTTGTTGATGAACCTACCAGGAATTCAGCTCAGTTCAGCTCAAGTCTTAACTTACTATTTAAAAATGGTGAGTAAAATGTCTTTTCTTCCATTACTGATTATTCCTTTTGAAGAACTCTTAATACATTTCCACCAATATCAGCATTCTTCCAGAACATAAAGAATGTAAAGATGTTCTTCAGAGAACATCGTCAAATGGTTCCTGGAAAGGTGTCAGGAGTCAGGGGAGCCTTCTGACTTCCTCTTCTTGTTGTTGCTCTTTGCCAAGTCATAGAGAAGTAGGTGATGAAGCAGAGAGCCCAGAAGGTTGAGACTGGGGCTTGCAGATTTTTGTTTTCCAGATGTTACACCTATCCATTACTTCTTCTCCTGCCTTCAGGTGCTTTGGAGAATAGATTGACCCCTCTCTTCTTAGTGGCAGCCCGAGATATTGGAACACTACTATCATGTCCCCCCTCATCCTTCTCTTCATTAGACATACCCAATTCCTGCAACCATTCTTCACATGCTTTAGCCTCCAGTCCCCTAATCATCTTTGTTGCTCTTCTCCATGCTCTTTCTAGAGCAGTGGTTCTCAACCTTTTTAATGCCGCGACCCCCAACCGGTCGTAAGTCGAGGACTACTCAACCGGTCGTAAGTCGAGGACTACTAACTGGTGCAGCACCGTTTGCAGAATGGGACTTTTGGCGGGCTCAGCAGGGCAGAGACAGCCTGGACAATTCCTATTGGCTTTTGAAAGCCAATAGAATTAGACTCTATTCAAGAGAGTCTATTATATTGGCTTTCAAAAGCCAATAGAATAAAAGGGAGTAGCACAGCTAAGGAAAAGGGGGGGGAAATGGCGGACTGCGTTGTTTGGCGACCCCCGTGAAATGGTCGTTCGACCCCAAATGAGGTCCCGACCCACAGGTTGAGAACCACTGTTCTAGTGGTTAAAGCATCTTTTTTATATCGTGGTGACCAAAACTAAATTTAGCCTCACGTGAGCCCAGGCTCTACTTTTTTTTTTTTTTTGGCTCCCTTGCAAACAACTAAGTGCCAATACAGGACAGAAGGCACAATTTGTAGTTGGCAGCCGCAGCTGACCTTCTGATGTTCTGTCCTGATGTTCGCAGAACCTCCATCTAACACAATGCTGTGACATCACTGAAGTATACCTGATAGCCCCCCCCCTTTTTTTTTTTTTTTACTTATAGTGGTTGTTTTAAAGGTAGGGAAGGAAACAGGAAGCCATCAAAGGGCAAATCAGTCACATTGAAAAATGTGCCCATGTTGCATAGAGGAAATCTGGCAATTTTGCCACTTAAAGTATCTGATAATACTCTATGCTAATCTGAAATTGCAGAAAAGGAGGAAGGGAGGGGAGGGAAGAGAAGGGAAGGATTGGTCATACTCTAACAGGCTTAGAATCATTCTTGTTGGATACATAATCACATCTGCCAAATTATGTCCTCCATGCAGAACTGAAGACTCCCCTGGTGTCTTACTTTCATCTTTTTTCCAATACTCTTCTTAGTAAATAAAAATGTAAAAGTTTGAACAACCAAATGCCATGCTCTCTGGGACTATTCTTGCTAATTAATCAGACTTGTTACCAGTGGTTTTATAGAGTTCTGTACCTTTTTATATACACATTTACATTATAGATAATGTAAAAGGTCACCTGTTGTTCTCCCTGCCTTTGCCTTTTTGATGTTTGAAAATGTTTAACAAATTAATATCAAGCTGTATTTTTGGCCAGGTGTATGGAGTGGTGTGTGTGCTTGCTCTAGATGTGATTGAATGGGAATGCACACTAAACTGGAAATTACTCACAATTCTTACCTTAGCTTTGATCTAAGCTTTCAAGAATGAAGGAAGTCTTTCATCCAGCTTTGTAAAATTGGTTTTGGACAATATCCATACTTGTTTGTTTGTTTGGGAAGCTGGTGAATCTCAGCATCTGTAACTGGCAAATCTCAAATCACACCATCCTTTTCTAAACATTCACAAATGAAGAATAATATTCAGCAAAGGCTGGACATTTGCCGTGAATGTCAACCTACTGAAACAACGGGTGCTTTTCTGATTGCCTTATGTTCTTTTAATGTCAGATACAGCTTACTTGCTTTGACCTCATATTTTGTATTTGCTTTACTATCTCACCTCTCCTTGCTGGGCTGCAAGGAGATGATGAACAAGAATGAAGAAATGAATGTAAAATGTCATGCATTTAAAACAAGGAAATGAAGTCTTTCATGTCATGGAATGAACGAATGAATTAGATATGCAAATGAAAGCACATAATGGCAGCTGCATTAATTCCACAAACTGAGCCCTCTTTTGTATCAGAAGAATTTATTAAATAAACAAAATTAACTGGATTCACAATGCCCACAACAAAAAATGATGCATCTAACCCAGGGGTTCCCAACCAGAGGTGCGAGACAATATTCCAAAAGGGGGGGGCGAAAACTTGGGTTTTCAAAATTATAGTGTATATGCATAATTCGTTGCTGTTATTTTGAACTTTTGCAAGGGGTGCGAGAATATATCAGAAGCGTTCTAGAGGTGCAGGGTATAGAAAAGATTGGGATCTAACCACAAACTTCACTGGTTTTTTCTTACAACATGCCAAGTAGAGGCATGGGGGATACAAAAGCACAATTGTATAAGGTCACATTTGCAGCTAAAAAAACGGAGTAGTTGTAGCCACCATCTTAATTTTTTATACCCCCTACCCCATATATGCATCTGCTTAGTGTGCTGCAGAAATGATGTTTTAGCTGACAATTAATGTTATCCTTGGTGAATGTTTTGTGGTTCAGGAGATTGTGTGAACTACCTGTACTGCAAGCCCAGAGTACACAATGAGCCTAGGAAATGAGCTAATTTAATGCCCAAGTGAAGCATTGTTGCATGAATTTTCCTGCTGTTTTACAAATCACAGCACACTATACTTTGTGTATTCAATCATCCTTTCACTGTTGTCCCTGACGTTCCCATTTAATCAATAAAGGAGAATATTTTAGTTGAGGGTTGAAATGAGGGGTCCTTGATGCTCTCTGAGCTTGGTTGTTTTTTTGCAGATGTTTCATTACTCAAACTAGCTAACATCATCAGTGCTAGTTTTGGGTTATGAAACATTTGCAAGAAAACCACAAAGCTCAGAGAGAATCCAAGACCCCCTCATTTCCATTTAATGCCCACCACTTGCCAGTCTGAACACTGGGCCACTCAGCCTCCATCTGGATTGAGACTTGTTTGTGGGCTGCCTAGCAGGAATCTGAATAGTAAATTTAATAATAATAATAAAGTTGGAAGGGACCTTGGAAGTCATCTAGTCCAACCCCCTGCTCAGGCAGAAAACCCTATACCATTTCAGACAAATGGCTGTCCAGTCTCTTCTTAAAAACTTCCAGTGTTGGAGCATTCACCGCTTCTGGAGGCAGGTTGTTCCACTGGTTAATTGTTCTAACTGTCAGAAAGTTTGTTCTTAGTTTGCTTCATGTCCTGCCTTCAGGCGCTTTGGAAAATAGCTTAACTCCCTCTTCTTTGTGGCAACCACTGAGATATTGGAACACTGCTATCATGTCCCCCCTCGTCCTTCTCTTCATTAAACTAGACATACCCAATTCCAGCAGCCGTTCCTTATATGTTTTATTCTGGGCATATACATTTGATAGATAGATAGATAGATAGATAGATAGATAGATAGATAGATAGATAGATAGATAGATAGATAGATAGACAGACAGACAGACAGACAGATAGACAGACGGATGAGAGAGAGGGGGGATCAAGAACTACTATGCTGGACTAAGTGGGACTATGCTCAGATTCAGTAGGGTAGCTCTCATGTTCATCCTGAACCACCTGGAAGGGCTCTACACAGATTTATGTTGCTCTGTGTCAAACACCACGCAACAGTGAATCTTCCCATCTATATTAATCTCTGTTTAAAACCACCCATTAACTGAACACCTCTTTTTAATGATCTATTCTATAATAAAAGCCACTAAAACGTAATCTAAATAAAAACATATACAGTTTTAAAATCAAATTCAAAATAAACACTCCATATAAACCAGGAAACAGCCAGGCAGTCATTCAAAGGCTAAGAACTATAATATAATTCAATTCAAAATTCTTGGATTTTTTTCCCCCCAAGTCTTCGCCTGACACTGACATGATGCTAACAGGGGCACCAGTCCAGCCCCACTGGGGAGGGAATTCAAAAAAATTCTACGGGGGGGGGGGGGCAGCACAGAAAAAGTTATCTAGGCCCGTACAAGTAGTCTTTGACTTACAACCACAATTGACCCCAAATTTTGTGTTGCTAAGCGAGACATTTGTTAAGTGAATTGTGCCCTGTTTTACAATCTTTCTTGCCACAGTTATTAAGTGAATCACTGCAATGTTAAGTTAGTAACATGGTTAAATGAACCTGGCTTCCCCATTGATTTTGCTTGTCGGAAGGAAGGTCGCAAAAGGTGATCACCTGGCCTTGGGACACAGCAAAGGTCATAAATATGAGTCAGTTGCCCAGCTTCTGAATTCTGATCAGGTGACCACACGGATGATGCAATGGCCATAAGTGTGGAAAACAGTCCCAAGTCACTTTTTTCATTGCCTGTAACAAATGGTCCCTAAAGCGAATTGTTGTAAGTCGAGGACTATCTGTACCTGCTCTTTTTTAAAAAACTGAAAGCTTCCCTCCGACTGACAAGTCTTGGTATGAAATGGGAAAGGCCATTTATCCACGCGGTGGCGAACAGGAGCTATACGAAGCATTGATTGAGGAGCGAAGGTTGCTCATCTCCTCATCTTTCTTGCTCGCGTGAAGCTGCGCCTACGAAGGGAGGTCTCCGGCCCCGGTTCCCCTCCTCCCGGGCGTTCCCAGCGCGCAAGCCCGCCCGCCCTCCCCTCGTCCTTTCTCGGCCTGCTTCTGCTTTCTCCCTTCCCCGTCGCCCAGTTCCGCCTCGATCGTCCAGAGCCGCCCATGCGCCGGGGAGCTTCAAGGGGCAGCGAACAGGCAAGCGATGCCGCCGTGATCGCTGGACTGAGTGCGGAGCCCTGAGGCTGGTAAGGTCGGCTCCGTTTCGCACCGGGGTGGTTTGGGTAATTGCGCGCGGTTGCCTCTCACCTTCCCGGATAGCTGAGAAACGTTAACCGAGGGCGAGGTGCGAAGCGACCCCTACAGGGGAGCCGGGGGTACTGTGGGAGGAAAAAGCGAAGAGGGAGCCCGGAGGGAAGAAGGCTTGAGGAGAGATCCGGGCGGAAAGTGGGCAACTGCCCGTACTCGCTACGCTCAGTCCGGGTATGTGAGTTGTTTGAAGGCTGCCCTTTGGATGGGGGGGGGCAGAAGGAGTTGGTGCGGGAGGGGATCGGCCAGAAGGGAGAAATGGTGTGAATGCAAAGTGGCTGTGGGAGAGGGGAGGGAACCCAGAGAGATGCACCCCAAAGGAAAGGGCTATATCCACCAATCTTTTCCAGCACTGTGGCGTGCTGGCTGGAGAGGATGGGATGTAGTGCAATATATCTCGAGAGTAGCTGGTAGGAAAACATCAGTGTAACTAGTTGGGCGAAGGGCTGGATGCGTTGGAGAAGTGGGGGTGCATTTCTAAAGGCGAGGAATTAGCCAAAGCTGGGGGGGGGCGGGGGAAGCGACCGTGCCAGAGAGAGTAACGGGAGAGCCCGGCAATAACGGGAGGTGATACTAGGGCAAACGGTCTGTCTAGCAGACTTTGGGCTGACGCGCGCTGAGAAAGGGGGCCGTTCTCTTGAGCGGCTGGGAGAGAGGTTCAAGGTGCGCGGGGGAAGCTACTCCCGGCTACGGAGGGCGGCTGGGATTCGAGCGAAGGAGCCGCGATTGTGTGCCCGGCGCGGATTTGTCAGGTGGATGTGAAGGCGGCGTTCACGTGTGGATGGGAGGGGAGGAAGGGGGGGCTGACGGATCCAGACGGAGGAGAGGAAAATCAGAGGCGGCTCACCTCTTCCCCCTCTGGGGCCGCCCCTTAGAGATGCTAATATCCTTCCAGTCCTCTCACCCCCCCCACCACCCAAGACCCCGGCCCCGAGACGGAGGGCTGCGACAAAAGCCTCGTCTTTTGGGCCCTGGCAGGATTGCTGAAAGCGGCGGCGAGAGTAGTAGCAGCATCGGCGGCGGGAAGGGTGACGTGTAGTTCCCGAGGCAGGTGAGATTTCGGGGTCGGGGGGGGGGGAAGGTAGAGGTGTCCGGGACGCAGCTTTGGAGGAGCCGGCGCTTGGTTCCCACGACACTTAGAACTAACTCCCGCTGAAAGGGAGCCCCGTCTCCCCAAACATCATCTCCGGAAGCTTTTTGTAGATCCCTGGCCGGGTTCCCACTTTTAAGGTGCTGCATCTTTCTTTCTCCAGCACTCATCCTCACTTCCTCTTTTAAGCCCACCTGTCTCCTGAAAAAAAAAACTGATGGTGAACACTCTTCGCCCCCCCTTCGTTTTCCTTTTGACTTGGACAATGGAGAAGAGGAGGGGGGGACTACTCGGTTTCATTGTTTGTCAATTGCGTGCTGCTGTAATCTCTTGCAGCTATAAAGAAGTAATATTATTGGGAGTGGAGACAGTAGCAAGGGGATGGTTTAGTAAAAGCTTTGGGTTTTTTTTCCTTCAGATTTTCTTTTCCTTAGAAAAGTTTAATGCCTCTTTGTGTTTGTGCCTCTGTGGGAAAGACAGGCAACTTAAAATGCAGGGATGCCTACTAGAGGGCTTTAGAACTGCAACTGATAGGTCGCTTTCAAAGCTTGCTCTTTTAAGTAACTTCAGAGGAAGCATTTGTGATTGGGCAGATGGAGAAGGCAGATCTTCCAAGCTTTAGAACAGTAGTTCTCAACCTTTTTAATGCCCTGACCCCCCAACCGGTCGTAAGTCGAGGACTACTCAACCGGTCGTAAGTCGAGGATTACTCAACTGGTGCAGCACCGTTTGCAGAATGGGGCTTTTGGCGGGCTCAGCAGGGCAGAAGCAACCTAGACAATTCCTATTGGCTTTTGAAAGCCAATAGAATTAGACTCTATTCAAGAGAGTCTATTCTATTGGCTTTCAAAAGCCAATAGAATAAAAGGGAGTAGCACAGCTAAGGAAAAGGGGGGGGGGGAAAGGGCGGACTGCCTTGTTTGGCGACCCCCCGTGAAATGGTCGTTCGACCCCAAATGGAGTCCCGACCACAGGTTGAGAACCACTGCTTTAGAAGGTAGCAAAGTTTCTGTCTTCAAGGAAAAAGAGGATCAAATCAACTTTGAAAGAATAGAACTCCTATTTTCATGGCTTAATATAATCTCTCCCCCCCCCCCCGGTTCATCCCCAATACTCTGATTTCTTTCATTTTTTTCATGCTAAAGAAAGTAAAGAAAAGCATGAGCAGCATTTTTCTCAGAACAGATAAAGAGGAGAAAAAAGTTTGTAAGGTAATATATCCCTACAAATTATTTACTAGTGAACCTAATCATGGGTTACTCAGCTAATGTAATTTTTTTTGGGGGGGGGGGTTGCCATACATTAAGAAACTAATGTAACGGGCTGAGTTCACACAATATATTGGGCTAAAATATGCCTGGCTAATTTGTGTTTCAGTGATTGAGTTCTTCTAATGTAGTAGATAAAATAAAATAAAAATGGATCATTTGGGATCCAGCTGTTTTAGTATTTTGTGTAAATGAAACCCTCAGATTAAGCCAAGGTTTGTCAGAGCACAGCACAGAACAAATAATTCATTCACATTTAGTATGGTGTATCCATGACCTGAATGCATCCTTTGTGTGTGTGAATGTGCTTTATTGACTACATGAGCTTGTTCCTTGACACCTTTAAACATTTGTGTCAGCTTTACCAAATGCTAAGAAAAATATTGCAACTTTCCAAGTTCTCAGAATCTCCATGTTTGAAGCAAACTCTCCCATAGGCTTAAGAACAAAAGATTATTCAGAATTACAATATGGAAACTCTGATAATCATGTAATTGTTATTCCTGGACACAAATAGGAGCTTCTGGGACAAGGACAGTTCCTCGCTGTCTGTTTCTCTCTCTCTCCCTCTCCCTCCCTCCAGATCACCTTTTGAAAGTAGGGGAGGGCTTTTTTTTTTTTTTTGAGGTTTCTGTCTCATGAGAGTTGGGTGAGTTAATTGCTCCATAGTTTCCCTTCTCTAATTTCCATTCACATTTCACAGAATAAAAACCGGTGGGTGTGTGGGTTCCTCCTTTTCCTTATTAATGGAAAGGTTTATTATGGAATGACCCCATTATAGTGAAGACACTTAAAAATTCACAGTGTTCCAAGTCTGTTTCAGGGCTATTATCATAAATTTCTAAGGCAACTTTATCTTTGGCTGAGCATTTTAGGAACTCAGCCTGGTTTATCCACCCTCTTTCTTTGCAAATGCAAAAGAGGGTTTTAAAATTATTGGAAGTATTGCCTGACCTGAATTAGTGGGAGGGAGAACATGGAGATGGCAGTGATAAATGTTCAAATGCCTGGCACTGGGTGGTGGGAATGATTGCTCTGCTCAGCAAATGAGGACAGTTATCAGCTGTAAAACTGATTTTCTTAGTGACCCTTGAAGTGGCTTGTGACATGATTGACTGCCATCATGGGTGCTGCATGCTTCTTTGTGTTCTAACCACTTCGAAGCCTTAAGAGATTTTTTTTCCCCTATGTCGCTCTGCTGAAGCTTCTTCAGGCAATTTGTGTTCAATTTATGAGGCAAGCGACATTGTAAAATAGCTGATAAGTTGACCCAATGTAGAAACGGTTGGGAAACAAAATTACATTTTGCCTGAATTATTCTCCTGTACTCATTTTTTATTACCTACTTGGTGGACATTTAGAAGCAACTTTTCTTTACAATACATATTGAATTGTTTCATGATTTATCCATCATGATTTACTAAATAAACAACAGTGTGTTCTTAGTGAGATACATAAACTTAAACCATTGCTTCTGTAAGAGACTGTAATTTGTGGCCTAAACTTGTACATTATTAGAGGAGCATTGAAATGTTAGTAATAGCATTTAAAGCTGGTCAAGCACATTTTAGCTCAGGATTAGTAGAGTTAACCTTAGATGTAAATATTATGTGCAGCCAGATCAATACAGGTGAGAGCTGCTTAGTTCAAAGCAGAACAAGTTCTACCATTCCTTCTCTCTCCCTTCCCTCCCTCGCCCCCCAATATTGGAAGATCATTTCAGTTTCCTTCTGCCTGACTCTTTTTTTCTGGTTTACTTGAGATCATATTGCTTTAGGTCCTGTACTAAAAGGTATAAAATGATTCATTCATAAGCCAGATTGGTTAGCCATAGTTTATTGAAGAAACTAGTGGCTGGATAATCCAAACATGTGAAGCCAAAACCCATATATCATTTATAATTTACTTTGTAAGTTACAAAGTACAACTGAAAATTAAGTTTTCCATCATTTTTAGGAACACCCTGAAAACAGGCATAAAACAATTAAAACAACTATATCCCCCCCCCCCAAAAAAGTGGAACCTCCTCCCCAGTTTCTGCTACCTGCATAATTATATCTATTCTTTCTGTGGTCCATAAATCCTCAATGATGGTTCTTGGTCACCAAAATATGTTCTCTTGTGCTTCGCCTTTTATGTAAACACTGTTAAGTCAACTCTAATGTTGTACACTGCATTAACTCATCCTACTGCTGGGTTCATGTCATACAATATGCCGTGGTTTCAAATGCAAATGGAAAGTCTTATGCAACATGCTAAAGCAAACCAGCCATATGTTGGCTCACTTCAATATATGAACCCAGTTAGAATCTGACTTTCTAATCAAGGAGACAAAGCCTAGTTTCTACCTAGGGTGAATATAAATGTCTTCCTGGTAACCACCCTGAAGTAGCCTTTGTTCTCTCTTTGATCCAGGCTGTTAGGATTGTGCAACACTTCAGATTAAAAGACCCAAAAGTGCTTTGAAAGGTATAAATCTATCTTGCCATTCATTAAACTAAGTAGAACTTTTTCTGAGATTAAGGGGACACATGTGCTTTAAGAAGTTGGGGACGAGTACAGTGGTTGTACAGCCTCCTATTCTGAAACATCTTTTGAACTTGAAGTACTACTTGGCCCATCTGGCTGGTGCAAATTACTAATATGCAGACATATCACTAGAAGGATTGATAGAAACATGGGTGACTCACCATAGACTAACTGTTCCTTATTCAGTGCCTTCCTCGTGTATGACTGAAGTGGCAGGAGGTGATGGGACTTCAAATCCAAGCTATTGGGGTAGAGCAGGGGCCTTCAAATTTGGCAACTTTACAACTTGCGGACTTCAATTCTCAGAATTCCTCAGTCAGCAAGTGGCAACTTGGCAACTTTATGACTTGTGGAGTTGAAGTCGACAAGTCTCAAAATTGCCAAGTTTGGAGAGCCCTGAGGTAGAAGGACCAATCCACTGGGGGAGGCTGCCTGCACCAGAAGCATTCTTGAGGCTCTGTCCTCTTTCACAATCTAGTGCCTGAACTGCTGGGAACTGTTAGAAAGTTCTGCTGGTGAAAATCAGATACCTGATGGTTGGGAATTGCCTGATTTCCTGACAATTAATCACACCTGCAGCCAGCAACACAATAACTGAGAGCGGTGGGAAACCACTGAAGATTTTCCTGTCTTGGAATTGCTAACTAGGGTTCATTTTCATCGGCACCCCATAGAAATTGGTTCATTTAAAAATGGTTGAGTTTTGGCAGAGCAAGCCCACTTTCATGGATGGACCATTGCAGGATTGCTAGTTCAGCACCACAGTAAGTCTGTGGGTGAGATATCTGGGGTACCCTTTTTTTCCAAGATCTAATGAGAGACTGGGAGCAGGAGGCCAAACCTTCCCAGCTTTAAAGGGCCAGCACCCACTTTTCTATGTGCTTTGGAAAGGGCCTCAAGGGTTGAAATGAGAGGAACCTACAGTACTTTCAGTACCTTCCGATTCTGATCTTCTTTCCAGGATGACAAAGCAGATAAAATGGAAAATTTAGTTTGTCTTAGCATGAGAGGGATGTTGAAAGAGGATATGAAAAATCATGCTGCTGAAATGTCTTTATTGTAACACTGAATTTCAATTCAGGAGTTCTAGAGGTCCCGCAAAAGAGGGTGCTGCTGAATGGATTAAATGCAAGCTATTGTCCTTTGCTTTATCCAAATCTGAAG